CATATTGACAGAAGTGTTCAGCTCACTGGCTCTATCTCCATCAAACTGTCCAAACTGAGGAACAGGGCTTGGGCCAAATTTCAAACCTCTTCATTAATATCCCTCTGTGGTAATTAAATACAGGACAGTGGCATTCAAAAAGCCATATGGAAAAGTTTCCGCAAGTAAAACTTAACAATCAGAGATTAGTAAAATGCAGATAATTCTGTGGTAAAAATTGCTTCTCTTGGAAGGATATGTATTACCTGGCTAATTGTGTAAGCTAAGTGTCATTTTACATTTGAGGTCCAAACATCTTTTTGAACTAAGTTTATGTTTGGACTTGGGTACATTATCAGATGTAACATAGTGGGAGGGAGATGCTGGAATTGAAGTTGCTGCTTCAACCCGATTAAGTAACCTTTAATTCTGGACATATTTTTCTAATTTGCTATACTGAAAAACAACTTCACAAGGAGTTCAGGCCTGCGAATATGCCATACAGATTTATATACATATATGTGTGTGTGTGTGTGTTTGTGTGTGTGTGTGTGTGTGTGTATTACCTTTGAAAGGAGGGCTTGAATTTTCCTTGATATCATATTTGGCAGCCAATGTGTTCTTTCAGACTGCTTAAGGTCTTAGCTCAGATCCCATGTTCAGATTCTTCTATAAATGTACATGCAGCTTAATGTTTTGAACAAAACTTCCAAGAGAAGAGATGGCATTTCTAGTAAGGATAACCCTTAAACTAGATTGATTTTGCAAGATAATGACCAGATTCAGGGTAGCCCTCCTGCATACAGAGGAAGATTGACTAAAGACGTAACAATTTGTTCCAATAAAGTTCTGTCCAGATACACTTAGACAGGAGAGGTATGACTTGCTGCACTGAAAGCAATGAGACAGGCTGCACTCTCCATTAGGGAAACAAAAACACACAGGACAAAGCCATTGGCATGGCTGAGCTTCTGTCTAATCCTCACATTGCTGGATGTGCTCCCTTTTAGAACTGGAACCTTAAAACCTATGAATTCAGATTCATATATGACACCATGCTTGTACATGTATCCTGGATTCATTCTCTTTCAGCTAAAGAAAATCAGTTCTGCCCATGGGAAATACTTATTTTCTTTTCAAACTGACCATAGATAATTTGCATTTTAAGTCCGTTATGAGTTGGATCTGTCTTTGAACCACCATTATAGGGCTTTTGATGTGGAGTATCTTCTGCATATCTTCAGATCAGATAGGGATACCCACATGTGATTAAATGGGAAAGCAAAAAGTATGCAACTTGGTCCCTTGAACACAGGTTTTGTTGTAACTGACTCAGATGGAAAATAAGAAAAGAGCAGTATCTTAGCTCATAGTCTGGATTTCAGTTCTATAGATCATCATGTTATTCTGTTAGTGGAAACTAACTGTATAATTAGTCAGCCCCATATCATCTATATTACCATTTTGCTAGAGAAACATTCCCTTATTCAGTCCTGATTCAGTTATTTCTCTAGGCCTTCTAGAGAGAGGCCAAATTTTGTTTCACCAAGTACATGACCTCACAGCAGTCCAGCCCAACAGCTGGAGATGAACACACACCTTACTGTTACAGCTAGGTTGCCCAGATATGACAAACACCGTACTTTGAGTGTATTTCCCCAATAGGCCTCTATTTTCCTTCCCAAAGACTTTCTATAAAAAGGGATCCTGATAAATCCTACAAGATGCTGACTAATACACCTTTTGCCTTTCAATTTTTGGGGCATAGAGAGCAAGACTCAAGGAAGTGGAAACTCATTTCAGGTGTGACTGTCGGTGAACATTTGCAAGCCACTTCTGATAAGCCAAATCAATAAATAGGTTTATGAAGGCATTTCTGAGAAACTTCTAAGAAATTTCACCTCAGGAGTTCTGCTACCATCAATAGAGATAGATCTGTGAACTATCTCTGGACAGCTAAAGATCTGGCTGGAGTGCAGCAGGGAGAACTTCAGATACCAGTTGTGCACATTTGGTAAATTCTTGAAGCTAGAACCCTTAATGTTTTCCTGTTTTTCCTGATCTATTATCCAGGTGTGTACCATGGAATTTTTTTCATTTTCTTTACCTCTTTCTAAGACTGTTTTTAATCTTACATATGAGAATGTGAAATGCTGAAAGTTGCCAGAACCAAGTTGTCTATCAGCCATGACAGACAATGATGTAAAAATCTACTGGCAATGATGTTTTTTGCCTAGCTACAGTCAGCAAAAGACTTGATTTCAGTCCTCAAACATGAGGGGTGGTGTATTCTGTAAATATGAAATTCTTACCCAATTTAAAGTCATATTAAGTTGTTGTCTCATTAAAACAATTTTAGTAGTAAATTTCATAGCTCTACAATGTGTTGTGCTACAAATACTGGGCTCAGTTTTAGTTAGTATTCATTAAAGGAAAAATTATAATTAGCCAAGTGGATATGCTTACTCATTAATTTATATGTACAGCCATGTGCTCTATCAGATGCTTTCTATAATAGTCCTGATGACTTTTACTCTCACCTCCCACGGAATATTTTTTTTCTTCTATGTGTTTTATTTTTGCCCTTCTTTGGGTTTTTATATTTCTGCTTTATGTGCAGACAGTATTTTAGCTGTGACTCCCAGATTTTTTCCTCTGTAGCTCATCATACATCTCTTTACCACAAAGTTTGAAATAGGAAAACAGGGAAGAATGAGGGATTGGGCAATTTGTTCATTTGTTTTCCTATGCAAGCAAAAATCATTGCATAAGGAGCAAAACTGGAATGAGAGGGTGATATCATTTGTCAAAGGAATGCATGTTCAGTGCTTTCCTTAGGTAGTGAGAAATAAATTGAGCATGCAGTTAATACTGCGGCGTGCAGACTGGGAATATCTTTGCAGGGAAGATTCAGGGATGTCCTCTTCCCCCAGGCTGGAGCATCACATACTCTTGGTGTAATCCAGAGCATTCCAAAGGCAAGACACATGCCTTTCAGAAGTACTTTATGAAACCATGCAGATGAGTCACCTCTAGTTGG